ATAACAAGTAATATTTGATTAAGAATAAATGCGAGCGTTTATCATAAATTCTTTTTGTTTTTGACATATTCTTTGAGAGAGTTGCACATGAGAAATGTGAATCCATTTGTGACGATTTGCGAGTAACTTGCGAGAGCTTTGAATTGGGTGTGTTTTTATTTCCAATACATCAAGGGCATAAAGAAAAACATGAATCATGCGTCTTTTTTTTGCTCCCTCTCTCGCAATTCTCATCGTATCCCTTCTGTTTTGCTGCACTTAAAGAGTCAGAGTAGGTCCTTGACCCAAGTTCAAGGGAAACAGGCATAAATTTTCAAAGTTTTCTGCTAGAAATGCCTCACATTTGCGTACTCGTACGTGTACACATAGCTGAATGCACCTCCTTATACTCCTTTTCTCAACTATACATATTTCATAAGTTTCTGTTACTGCTACCAAGATGTTATACATAAAAAGAAATATGTACTTGCAAACTGCACCTTATGTGCTCTCTCTCTCTCTTACTTTTCTATTTTAAATCACCAGTTTCATAATGTAAATTATGTTTTATACTTTTTCATTTGTATAACCGTTCGAACGTTTCCTGAAAAGTGAAATTCGTCAAGTTTCCTATTTTCAAAGAACTTTTGAAATTTTTGACCATAATTTTGCAACTTAAATTATTTATTTTACAACATTTTTAAATATTAATGGATTTTAAAAATCCTGGTTGACACGAAAACTACACATTCAAGGAACATTCTATCCAAAATTCAAGTTCATTGGTTAAATAGTATTGTTAAAATAAAAGTGTGACAAACTTTCAGAGAGCAGGGCTCGAACCAGTGAAAGTATTTAAAAATACGGACTTTACGGACCAAAAATGAAAAATTACGGACCATTTACGGACCAATTATTGACAAAAATATAACCAACCCGAGTCAAATAAAAGAGAACACTTCATGATTTATAATAAATATAATTAAATATGACCCAGTAAAACAATCATTTACAATTCAATTACTATTAACAAGAATTTTGAACTAAAATTCTTCTTTAAATCGATTATTTTTAATAATTTTCGAAAAAGTTCTTTGACAATTTTCAAATCCATTTCTTTACAATATTCAATTTTACGAAATTTCAATTACTCGTAAATTCTTCCCATTAAATAAATATTAAAAAATAATATATTAAAAGAATTTCAAAAAAATCCAATTAAACTTTTTCAAAAAAAATTAATTTGAACTGAAATCCATTTTTAAATCAATTTTTATGAGAGAATTCTATGAGAATTCAATTATTTAAATAGAAACATAGATAATTTATCGAATAATTGAATGTTTCTTAAAATTCAAATGAAAAATTACGGACCAATTACTAACAAAAATATAAACAGACCGAGTCAAATAAGAGAACATTTTACATAAAACTATAAATTAAATATTTCTAACTACAATACATGAAGAAGTCGATAACTCCGAGTCTTCGACTCGGAGTGATCGATTTCTTCATGTTTTATAATAATTAAAGATGACGGAGTGAAAAAATTTTCAAGAATTTTTAATTCAAATTCTTCATTAAATCGATTATCGATTATTTTTAATAATTTTCGAAAAAGTTCTTTGACAATTTTCAAATACATTTGTTAACAATATTAAATTTTTCGCATTTTCAATTATTCCTAAATTCTTCCAATTAAATAAATATTAAAAAATAATATATTAAAATAATTCAATTAAACTTATTCAAAACAATTAATTTCAAAAATTCAATTATTTTTAAAAATTCACGCTATATTGCTTTTAATATTCAATTTTTTATCTAAAATTTTAACTGAAATTCATTTTTAAATCAATTTTTTATTAGAAAATTCTACTAGAATTTAATTATTGAAATACAAAATTTGTAAATAATGAAATTTCTGTGAAATTTTTATTATTTCTTGAAAATAATTAAAAGTTTGTGTAGAATTTTATTAAATTTTGTTTTAAATAATTGAATTCTTTTGGACAATTTTTTTTAAAATAGTAAATATTGAAAATCATTGAACTTGAGGAAATTTTTTCAAAGTAATTGAAATGTTGACAAAAATTTTATTAAAATTGTTGAAAATAATTGAATTTCAGAGAAGAATAATTTAATTATCTTTCAAAATAATTGAAATTTTGAAAAGAATTTTAAAAAATTTATAAAAATAAAAAAATAAAATTTATGAAAATTAAATTTCTGCGAAGAATTTTATTACTTTTAAAAATAATAATTATTGAATTTCTGCAATCATTTGTAATTTTTCTAAAATTATCCAAATTATATAGTACAATTTGCGAACGTCTCAACCTTTTTGAATCAAACTACGAACTTTACGGACCTTTTTTCAAAAAAACGGACTTTTACGGATTTCAAGCACAGTTACAATTTTTATTAGAAAATTCTACTAGAATTCAATTATTTAAATACAAATAAAATGCAAATAAATAATTTATTGAATAATTAAATGTTTCTTAAAATACAAATCCCATAAAGAATCATTATCAACAAATTTTCAAATAATTGAATTCTATCAAAGAATTTTAATAAAATTTTTAAGAATAATTACATTTTTCGAGAAATTCGATTAAAATTGTATTAAAAATAATGGAAATTTTGCTATGAGTTTTATTGTTTGTGAAAATAATTGAATCCCTAAGAAGAATTTTATTACTTTTGAACAATATTGAATTTTTGCTAAGAATATTATTACTCTTGAAAATAATTTTTGCAATAATTTGTAACTTTTACAAAATTGAATTTTTTTTCGTGTTCTTAACTAAACATTTTCTATAAATCCATTATTTTTAATAATTTTTGAAAAAGTTTTTTGAGAATTTTTAAATTCATTTGTTTATAATTCAATTTTACAAAATTTCAATTATTCGTAAATTCTTCAATTAAATATATATTGGAAAATAAAAACTTTCAATAATTTAAAATAAAATCCGCAAATAAATTTTCTGAAAAAAATAATTCCACAGAATTGTTAGTTAAAAATATGAAAAATTAAAATTTTTAAAGATTTTAATTTGAAACATTTACAAAATTCAATTATTTCTAAAACTTTACGCTCTAATGCTTTAAAACTCAATTATAATCTAAAATTTTAACTGAAATCCATTTTTGAATCAATTTTTATGAGAAAATTCTATAAGAATTCAATTATTTAAATAGAAACATAGATAATTTATTGAATAATTGAATGTTTCTTAGAATTCAATTCCCATAAAGAATTTTATCTCTAATTTTTTAAATAATAACTTTTCATATTTTTTTAATCAAATTAGAGACTTTACGGACCTTTTTCAATCAAATTCCTACAGACTTTTTAGGAATTCAATTATTTTCAACATTTGCAATTAAAATTCTTGAAAAGTTTTTTAAAATTGTATTTGTTTATATATATATATGTTAGGCTCAAAAGCCGAAAACGGCCAATGGCCGAAAAAAACAGCCAAACCTAGTTTTGGCAAGTGCAGTTTTGCCAAAACTGGGTTTGGACGTTTCACTTCGGCCATTGGCCGTTTTAAATTGCCAAAACTAGTTTTGTCAAATCGACATTTGCCAAAACTAGTTTTGGCAATTTAAATTCGGCCAAAACTAGTTTTGTCAATTTGACTTTTGTCAAAACTAGTTTTGTCAATTTTACTTTTGCCAAAACTAGTTTTGTCAATTTGACATTTAACAAAACTAGGTGAGGCATTTCAAATTGTGAGAAATTGAAAGAAAGAAAGAAAAGAAAAAGAAAGACCGCCGTATTAATAGGAAATTTGTTTAGAATTAGCATATTGTTTCTGTATTCTGTATTGTTTCTGTATTGAATGATTGTGTGTATGAAATAAGAAATCGTCAACAAGGTAAATTAGTCTTTGCTCTCAACTTGTAATAGCCAGTGCAACTCTAAATGTCACTCCAACATCGCGTGTAAAAATAAATAAGTGTTAAAAAAGTTTTTTTAATTAACTTTTATGTGCAAAATATTAATGGATTTTTGTTAGAGAAATTTTATTTTATTGTAAATAATATTAATCAATGACACATTTTTAAATAAATATATTCCTATTGTATAACGAAGCGGTCTTTCTCACAATTTGAAATGCCTCACCTAGTTTTGTCAAATGTCAAATTGACAAAAACAGTTTTGGCAAAAGTCAAATTGACAAAACTAGTTTTGGCAAAAGTCAAATTGACAAAACCAGTTTTGGCAAAAGTCAAATTGCCAAAACTAGTTTTGGCAATTAGAAACGTCCAATGGCCGAATTTAAATTGCCAAAACTAGTTTTGGCAAATGTCGATTTGACAAAACTAGTTTTGGCAATTTAAAACGGCCAATGGCCGAAGTGAAACGTCCAAACCCAGTTTTGGCAAAACTGCACTTGCCAAAACTAGGTTTGGCTGTTTTTTTCGGCCATTGGCCGTTTTCGGCTTTTGAGCCTAACATATATATATATATATATATATATATTTCATACTGTTTTTAAAAATCGAAATAAGTAAAGTTGGACTTTATACTAAATAAAAATGTGGTATTTTGTTGCAATAAATAAAGTTGCATTTTTGGACAATAGTGTAAAAAGCAATAATATCTGAGCCCTGACAATATTAATAAAGAGAAAAATAAATTTATTTTCAAAAGAGTAAACAATAGTTTTCAATATATTTTCCAAAAATGAATCATTTTTATATGAATAATTAATAAAGAGAAAAATAAATTTTTTTTTAAAAAGAGTAAACAATAGTTTTCAATAGAAATATTTTCCAAAAATGAATCATTTTTGGAAAATATTCAGGAGATCCGAAACTTTCTACCTTTTTCAAAGGCGCGCAATGACTTTGCGAAAATAATTTTTCCACACCACGGGAATTGTGGCAGGTAATTTTTGAGAATCGACAGGTAACGCAGTTAAGAGATCTAACAACAAAGGACAATTGAACTCTGTCCAGAAGGAAATTTCCTCAACGAGTCAAGGAATAGATGCAGTAAATACCTTGATTTATGATCGTTGACGAACCGCAACAGGAAGTTAGAATACTATATCTATATATATACAGTGTACAAAACTGCAACTAGTCCAAAGTTCCAATCTTGCGGTGAAATTGTACTCCGTTAAAATCTAAAGTATAATCCAAATAGTAATCACAATCACAAAAAACTCAAAAAAAAAACACAATTCCACAAATAGCGATTTTTAAAAACAAAAATTTTATGTCAAATTTCAAAAAAATTTAAACAGTTTTTAAAATTTAAATAAATTTAAAAAACAGTTTATAAATTCAAATAAATTCAAATAAAATTGAAACAGCAGATAAATTACTGATGAAACACTTAAAGAAATCCAATTCGAATATACAACGGAAAATAAACACACGCTGCGGATACGACTTAAACGGAACGATGAGAGATTTAGACTGAGGGAAGGCAGGCAGGGACTGAGGGTAGTAAATCCGAACGCTATGGTGTCAAAATTGAGACTGAACAATAGTGGGGGCAGAGAGCGGCAACAGTGTAAAATTTGAGACCAAGACTTTCCCCCTCCACTCTGCTCCTTACGTATATCAAAAAAATATCTATTGTCCTGCCCTAATGTCCTTTAACTTGAAGCAAACTTTTATAAGAAAAAAAAAAAAAAACTTTTTTTTTTAAACCCATGTGCATTGAGACGTTTGTCTCCGAATTTTATTGCTCCAGGCGCCATGAATCTTTTTGAAGGGGAACTTTTCCTTAAAAAGAGAGTTACAATGAAAGATATGCGTACGCACAAATGTTGATCGTAAATTTTTTCGATCAATACACTTTTTTTTCACCAAAGTTTATACTATAGTGTTCGCAAGATATAAAAGCAACAGGTTTTTCTTGAACTAAACGTGAATAAGTTTCAAAAATCACAAAATTTGAAACAAAAAAAACACACTTTGAAAATATAAAAATCACTCAATTCTGAAATTAGAGTAAAAATTATTGTTTGAAACAGTGAATAAATTTTTAATTTTTGATAAGGTATTTTAAATTATTATAAATAGCTAAAATAACGCGCGCTAAAACTCGCGTGTGGTTTCTTTTTGTATATTTTATATTTTCATATTAAATTATATTTTGAAAATAAAAGTAAAAATTATTATAAGAAAAAAAATGTTAAATATATGAGAACTTTATTAAATTTTTTAATATATAGGTATATATTTGATTAATTATTAAAAATAATGGACTAATAAACAAATTTTACTCAAAAACACTAAAAAAAATTGAATTTTGGAAAAATTATAAATGATTGCATAAATTTAATTATTTTCAAAAGTAATAAAATTCTTTTCCAAAATCCAATTATTTAAAAAATTTTTACTAAAATTCTTGACAAAATTCAATTTTTAGAAATTTTTAATAAAATTTTTAGCAAAATTTCAATTATTTTCAAAAATTTTCCTCAATTTCTTATGAATTCTATTATTTACAAATGTTTTTATAAATTTCTTCGCAATAATTTAATTATTTTCAATAAATAATCAAATTTTTTTACAGGGATTGAATTATTTTATCATAAATAATAAAATTCTTTTCAGGAATTTAATTATTTCCATAATTAATAAAACTCATTGCAGAATTTCAATTATTTTTCATACAATTTAAATCGAATTTCTCAAAAAATGTAATTGTTCTTAAAAATTTTATTAAAAATCGTCAAAAGAAATCAATTATTTAAAAATGTTTTGTTAAAATTCTTTAGGAGAATTCAATTTTAAGAAATATTCAATTGTTCAATAAATTATTTATTTTTGCATTTAAATAATTAAATTTCTAATAAAAATTGATTTAAAAATGAATTTCAGTTAAAATTTTAAATTTGAAAATATATTATTAAAATTATTCAAATAATATTTGAATATTAAAAGCATTATAGCATGAATTTTAAGAAATAATTGAATTTTGAAAAGGTTTCAAATTAAATTCTTTTAAAATCTTAATTTTATACTTTTAACCGCAACAATTCTGTAGAATTAATTATTTTGAAAAAGTTTAATTGAATTTTTTTTCCTGAAATTATTTGAAGTGTTTATTTTTTATTACGTATTCAATTGAAGAATTTCTGAATAATTGAAATTTCGTAAAATTGAATTGTAAACATATGGATTTGAAAATTCTCAAAGATTTTTTTCGAAAATTATTAAAAATAATTGAATTAAAGAAGAATTTCAGTTAAAAATTCTTTTTCTTTTCTTTAATAATTCTTCAAAATTTTTCAATAATTTCATTCAAAAATTCTAAAAAAATAATTGGAATTCTGAAGAATTACAATTTTTAGAAATAATTAAATTTTAAGAGGTTTTTCATTGACATTATTTGAAATTTTAATTTCTTCAGAGAAATAAATGAGAATAAATTTTTGTTTAACTAAAAGTAATGAAGTTTTGAATAATTTAATTCAGAAATTCCAAAAAATTGTTTCTTGAAAAAATGTAGTTAAAATTTTTTAAAAATATTTGTATTTCCGACAATATTTTAAAAAAATTGAAACAATGGAAAATTTTGTCAAATTTTATCAAAATTATAGTTTAATAAATTTTATTTGATTACTTTTAAAAAACTATTTTGAAATATAATCATATTTTTGAAGAATTCTAATTGAAAATCTTGTCGATTTCTATACGAGTTGTTCAAATAATTAAATGTAAAGAAAAACTATTAGAAAAATTATATTTTTTAAAACACAAAGATTTTTCATTAAATTTCAAAAAGCATATTTTTTAAAGTAACAGTGGTTTTATTGAAATAAATCAATTTTCCCCAATATAATAATGTAATTTCTTTGAAATTTCTATTTTTGAAAATTTTTATAATATTTTGCTTCTATAACAAATTTATCATAGTAGAATATTGGAGTTAAAAATATAAACAGTTAATGTAAATTAAAAGGATTTTGGAAATAATATTCCAGTCCTCAATATGAATGATATAATATCAGAGACATGATATACAATTTTTTCGTTATCTTTTTAGAACCATCATGTTTATGGTATAACATTAAAAAAATATATGAAATATTTCCCATTATATTAAAAGAATTAAAAGTGAAAATATGGGATTACATTTCGAGTAATTACCAAATTTATTATTGAAATGCATTGGAAAAATCCACACATCATAGCTATAAAAAAAAACATATTAATAAAAAAATTGTCAAATAAACATTTTTGTCAATCCTGTAATTTATTACGCGTACACAAAATTGAAAATTTTTTCTAGAGAAAAAATTTATTTTATAAACCATTAACAATTATTAACAATATTAACAATTTATTTTATATTTAGTAATTATAAATTATTTACTAGTTATTTATTAGTTATTATTTATTAGTTTATTTCGTATTCTGATTTAATATTTTTTATTTTTGACTTTAGTAATTATAAATATTGGTTCGTGTATTTGAGAAGACTTTTTTTAATATGGAACAAATTTTTCTAGATATCAATATAAATTTAGAATCACTTGATTGATTTAATATTTTATACAGTGTATATATATAAAATTTTTTTTTTTATTAAAAAAAGGCAAATTTCAATTACTAAAATGTCGTTTATATTTCAACAGCTGAACATAAATATAAAAATATAGTTTTTAAAAAAGTTCTCAAACAAATACATATGTAGAGTATAAATAACTAGAGTTGATTTTTTTTATTTGCAGTGAGTAAAAAAAATTCTCTCTTTTATTTCCAAATACAGGATTTTTTAAATTGGGTGAAAAAATAAATAGCAAATCACTCTTAATCTGTATCAATAAAGAATATTTCACTGTACTATAAAAAGGGGGAGTTAAATATTTAAATCACAAATTTTTGAGTTCATTTTTATTATTTTTAACTTGAAAGCTATTTTTTCTATTTCCAACTCCCGGTTGCCTTTATAGTAATCAATTTCGTATTATTAAAAAAAAATTTTTTTTTTTTTATTCAAATTAATTAATCTTTAGAAAAACGATTACCTATAATTTCATTTCTACTTTCACTTTCACAGATTTTTATTTTTAAATTTAAATTATATTCGATAAGTCTATATAAATTGCAAGAGTGTAAAAATTTCAAGATTTCTTATTGTTTTTATAAAATTATTTTAAATTAATATGAATCTTACTGAAATTATTATATTTAATATATTAAACACATATTTATTATTTATATAATAAAATTTTTATATTTTTAAAATAAAATTACCCTAAAATTAATTAAGACAAATAATTTGTATTTATATCTAACATCCATTTACTTGAGTGAAATAAATAAATTAATAGTTTCAAATAACTCATTTATTATCGTTTCAATAATTGATTAATTTGATCCAATTATTTTTTTATTTGTTCTTATTAAATACTTTATTAGCATTAAAAAATGCATTATTTGCATTCAATAATTTAGTTTACTTGAAGCGTTAAAATAAATTAATTGTGTCAAATAATGTTTATTTATATCAAATAAATTGAGTGAAATACAATTAATTGAGTGAAATAAATAAGTTAATTGCTTAAAATAACTCATTATTTTTATTAAGTAAATTGATTTATTAGAGTCAATTAATTATTTAATTGACCCAATTAAGATTAATATTCAATTAATATTCAATTCAAGTTATTTGAAGCAAATAAATATTTATTAGGTCCAAATAAAATTTATTTGAATCAAATAAATATTTTTCAAATAATTTGAATTAATTGAATCAAATAATTTTTTTTTTAGTGTATATACTTTACGAAATAAAAAATATAAATTATAATGCGAAGAGCATTATTAAATGTACATTTTTTCCCCCAGGAAAATATGAGTGGTAATATAAAATGCTCGAATTGTTTGAAAATTTCAAGTACAATAGATGTATAAAGCAGTAGTAGCGCTCAATGGTTTATGTTATTAAAAAAAAACACACACACACAAAAAACGGAAACAAAAAAAAAATTGTAGCAGATATTTACTAACAGCCGTGAAGCGTTCATTTGAAGAGGTTATACGGTCAAGCAGAGTTCAGTAGACGTGAAAATAAATAATTTCGCACCAAGGATTAACTAGGAAAATTTTACGAGTTGCGGTAGAGAGAGATAGAAAGAGACAGTGAAAGAGAGAGAGAGAGATAGAGAGAGAAAATAAGAGAGCAAAAAAAGAAGAAAATAAAACCCCAAACAAAAGCGCCGACATGACGAGAATATCGTGCGCGTACGTTCTACAGACCCCATTCCACCCGCGTTGACTCTCCTCGTCGCGGATATAATTCGACTAATTATTTGTCGACTCCAAGCTATGTGGATATATATATATATATATGGGTGATTAAAATTAAAATGTCATTTTTGATCCTACTAACTTTGATTTTTCGATGTTGGATTTTGAACTTAGCGATACTCTATTTTGGTTGACTAGAATATTTGATGGACACCACTGACATGGTGTGCTCGACAAACTGATACTTTACTTTCTG